GCCTCCAAAGCCCCGGCCGGGGTGGGGCGAGACGGAAATGGGGGAAACCCGAGAACCCCAAGGATTTCCAAGTACGTGAAACCCGTGGGTCCGCCGGCCTCCTGCAGCGCCCGCAGCAGGCGTCGGGGGCGCTCTCACCGCCTGCCCTCAGGTGACCGAGGTACCGCTCCGAATCCGCTAGCCTTCCCCTAAAGGCCCGTAACTGCCCCGATCTGGTGACAACCTAACGTCTGTATTTTATTTTTATTTTTTCTAGTGAGCAGTCTTCATTAGACCCGCAGGCCATCTAGTGTTTTTGTTCCAACAGTATGCATATTTGAAATGAAACTGATGTAAGGAGTCCTCTTTGGTTTTTACACATTTTTTAAAGAGTGTAGGCCCATGCACATGTTTTTCCCAACAGCAAGCCATACTTTTTGAGTTTTGTTTCGTGTATGTTTTTTCAAACAGAAAAGGAAGAAAAATGATAACTCAGATTCTGGGTTTTATTGATATTCATTTTATATAACACTCAAATACAATTGATTGAATTTTGCATACATACGTGCTCAGTCGTAATTTATAAAGCAACTTTGGTCATTTTCTTTGAGGTATGTATTGAAGTACAAGTTTTACAGAAACATCTCAAAAATATTCAGCTTGTCACTGATCATTTTTGTGAATTTAAGAGAATAAGGTTTCAAGTTTATAATCCAGTCACTCTTGCTCACAGCCAGACCCTTCATAAATCCTTATTTTTTAAAAAAAACAAACCCAGGTAGGTACACTGGTTCCCTGAAGTAACTGAGTTGGGATTCACTCAAGGAAACCCATTTTCCCTCTAATGGAGTCAGTACTTTGATTCTCTACAGGCATCTCAAAGACAACTTTAGCAATCCCATGTGGTGACTCTGGGAGGAAAAAAGAAATTTAAAGGCAATAGTTGTTGAAACAGTACAAATATATACACATTATTCTGCACTGTCTTGCTCTTGTTCCAGAGACATCACTTGTATTGAGACATATATGCCTAAAACCTTTTTGTGAAAGAGCCAAAGCTTGTGTCTGACTTACAACTCCAGTCAGTATACTTGTATTGGGAGATAATGTACCCAGAGTTTTATTAAAAAGCTAAAGTTTGTGTCTTACAACTGACTAAAACAAGCCACTCACATGAAGGAATGAATGAAGCTATCGGTGGCTACTAAAAACGAATCCACAAATTAGACTGCTAAGCCGAAGCCACGCTTAGTTCAAGTACTTATTAGGTTACTATAAATGCCCAGATTTTAACCTAATCTGGTTTTTAAAACTCAGAGCATGATTCTTCATTTTGAGTGTTGGTATCCTACATATTTCCTTTTCTGAAATTGACTCTTCGATTCATTTGATGTATGAAGAGGCAAGATAATCTCACCTCTGATAGCTACTTGGAGAAAACTTTCTTTCATGAAGATACACTATGACTGAAGAACTTTTCAGATAATTATCATCGATGTGCAGAATCAAAACGTCTATTGAATTTGTGTGCTAAATAAATGTGAAGACATTGTAATGTTTACAGTATGCAAACCTAGAAATGTATATGCCTGAAAACTGATCCTTCAAAATTCGTAATGGCTTAGAGGTTTCTTCTTATATTGATTGTCTTTAGCCTGTTGAATGTATATCAACTGTGAAAGCAGCCAATTGGACACATACTGATTCTGTGCTAACAGACAAAGAATCAAACTTCAAACCTCCCTGTAAAAATGAGGCCAAAGCGTCCCATTTTCTTTTTCCATCACAGAAATTCAATTCCACAATGTAGTTCATGCTTCACTGGAGAAATTCACAGCTTAGAATAATGTACAAGAAGCAAACGGATGGATTCTTAAGGCCATCGGAAACTAATTATGAATGTTCATATTAGAAGTACCAATAATGAAAAAAATATGGAAATGTTCGTATGACAATGAAAATCCTTCATCCTCTGGTTTTCTCCTAGATGTTTTCTTTTACTTCCAAGTAACGGTCCAATGTCAGTCCTTAAGATCACTAGCTCTCCACAGCCATGCCGGTCTTGTTTTTATTTAGTAGATCAAAGGTTCTCTGAAGCATAATGAGTGAGCTCTTCAACTGCAAACAAAATAATTTTCAAAATAGATTATTTACATTTTTCTGTTCTTTTTCATGCCAAAGTTCACATTTGCATTTGACATAATTTTATTTATACTGATGTCCAAATAAAAGACTGAATATGAAACATCGGATTCCTTAGGGTATCTATGTCAGTATGATTGCTACAGAGTTCTTCCCATTTGCTCTAGGATCGCACTTCTTCCTACATACTGTGTATTCTATCTCCCATTAGGTCCACAATCAAATTATCCAAAGGGACAGGCTGGCTTGTTTCCTTAAATGGCTTCTGAAGTTGCAGTGGTCTCACTATCTCCTAAACAACTCAGGTTTCACTTCCAGGCCTGTGCTTGCTATCGTTTTCATCCATCCAAAACGGACCCATCCCCACTGTCTCCATGTGGTTTTCCCTAATCATCCTGCCTCTAAACTCCCAATGCATTACTATTTACTTTGACATTTAATTTTGTACTTTTTTACAGTCTTTAACAATACACACGGGACCTTTGATTTCTCTAATAAAATTGTAGGCAACTTGAAAGCAAGAATTAAGTTTTATTTTTCTTTATATTCACTCATTCAAATATTTATTATTTATTACATGTACTGTGCTAAGCACTGGGTATCAATGGTAAACCAAAGAGCCACTCTCGCCACTGTCTCTGCCTTCATGCAGCTTATGGATTAGTAAGCAATACAGAACTAAAACACATAATCACCCACACAAAATATACTTACACATTGTATTAAGTTTTTTAAGCAACTGGAGGGTGGTACTATCATTTTCTAAAACTAGGTCAATTAGAGGAGAAGTGGGTTTGGCTCAGGATGAAAATAGAATTCTGTTTTGGACATGATCAGTTTGGGATGCCTGTTATCATCCAGGTGAAGATGCTAAGTCAGCAAATGACTGTCTGAGCCTGGAGCTCAGAGGAGAGGTCAGGGTAAGAGATGGATTTGGGAGTCACTGGCACATGTGGTATTCCAAGCCAGGGGAGCGGATGTGACCGCCTAAAGGGGAAGCAGAGGAGAAGGGAAGAGAATCTAACACTGCGTGGAGCACTGGGCCAGAAAGAGGTCAGGTACTGGAGAAGGTTTTACAGCAAAAAGGAGTTTCCCGTTATGCTAAATGAAAGATTCCATTTATAGGTTCTTTTTGGGGTGATGCAAATGCTCTGGAATTAGTGGTGATGGTTGCATAACCTTGTGAATATATTAAAAAGCCTTTAAAGGGTGAATTTTATAACATGAATTATTTCACAATAAAGCTGGAGGTTTTTAGATACATTTCAAGAAAAGAGTGGTCAGCTCTCAAAATGTTGACACTGTAAATGGAAACTAAAGAAAGGTGCATTTACACTAAAAGCTAGAGGTCACTAGGGATCTCAGCTCAAGCAATATCGGTGGAAGGCAGGGGAGAGGAAAACAAGGCAGGGGTGAGCTGAACATCGAGGAAGTGGATTAAATACATGCATCCAGTTTTGCTTCCTTCTGAAACCCCACTAGGGGATTTTTTAAAAATTCTCACCTGAGAATATGTTTTCTTTTTAATTATTGATTTTAGAGAGAGGAAGGGAGAGACAGACAGACAGACAGACAGACAGACAGACAGACAGACATTGATGTGAGAAACATCAAGTGGTTGCTCTCGTATGTGTCCCAACTCGGGACTGAACTTGTAACCTTTTAGTGTACCAGACGATGCTCCAACCAACTGAGCTACAAGAGCCAGGGCGGGATTTATTGTTGTTGTAATTAAAAGACATAAACCACAAGGGCTGGGAGAACAGAAAGCGTGACATCAGCAACACAGCTTGGGAACCTGGAAAACAGATGGATGACTTCACAGTCCTGAAAAGGCTGAATCCTAAGCTAATACTAGAGAAAGCTGAGACCAACCAGATTTACCCTGAAGAATCTTCAAAAGCCTCAGGAATTGATGGCCAGGAATCTCTGGAAGTGGGAATTAAGAGGAAGGGGATAAAATAAGGATTGAATGAACCTTTGGGCATCTGACCTCTCTTACTACCTGGACAGAAGTCTAAAATTGTCTTTTCTGGACAGGATAAAACAGAGGTTCTCTGGCTGTCTGGCTCAGGGGACACCAAGACTTCGTTAAGGACAGTGTTACCATACCAAAAGCAGGGGGATTACAGGAAAAAGTGTATACTGAATATTGAAACCATCTCCTCTGTCCTGACCTCCCCATTCCTCTCTCACTCATTTGAGTTCCTAAATGCTGGCAGCCAGCCCTCAAATCCTTCAGAGAGACAAGAAGAGTATTCTCTGTGGAAACTGACCAATCCAAGAGGAAACACGTAAAAATACTGAGATCAGGATTTCTCAACCAGCAGCCCAGCCAAATCTACAGAAAAGTTCAGGGGAGACCAATATGACCCACATGTTAAGAGCTTCTGATCCACAC